AATAATCCAAACTTAAATATTTTATTTAAAAGACAAGCACTATAAATGCAGAAATATGGGTTGGTTGATTAATGACAAATATAATAATCTATTAGTAGCTTATTCTAGTTAAAGTTAGAATTAAAGTTAGAGTTAGAATATACTTTCTGTTAGCATGTTGTTAAGGTTAGGGTTAAAATATACTTGTATTAGCATGTAATTCCAGTTAGAATTAGAATTATACATCATATTAGAACATTAGGATTATAGGTTTATATGAATAATTCAAGTATTAGTCTATAGAGTCTAATCAACTATAATATGTCTAAGTATAAAAAATGTGTTAATAAATTTATTAACCTAATTATACTACATTATATGCAGTACTTATTTATAAAGTATTTGTTTTACATAGAAGTTATACAAATATATATATAAATAAATATAATTATTTATTAATTTTATATAATCTTTCTTGTGCATTTTTATACATCACATGACCTGGTAATTATCACTACCAGTTATGGTTAGCAAAATTCATTTGAATAATTCTAAATATAAAAATAATAAATAAAAATTTAAGTATTATTAAGAAAAAAAAATAAATTTAAATATTATTAAAAATATTTTAATTTAGATTTTTTAATAAATAATTATAAAATATTGTTAAAATAACTTTAACTAAAAATTATAATAAAGTTTAAAGTTATTATTTTTAACAATACCCATTTAATAAAAATTAAAAAAATTTTTTACTAGTGTCATAATTTAAAATAAGATTGTTGATATTCTATTTAAGTTATATCATATAATGAAATAATAATAAATAATATATAGAGCATAATTAGTAAATATGGTATATATAAAGTATAATTAGTAAATATAGCATAATCAGTATAATTAGTAGATATAGCATATAGAGTATAATTAAGAGATATAGCATAATCAATATAATTAGTAGATATAGTATATAAAGTATAATTAGTAGATATAGTATATAGAAAAAAAGTATATAAGTAATATGTTTATAATGTAATGAAAAGAGGTCTCGCAATATAGTTAATAAAGAGATACTTACCCTTAGTACTTACCCAAATTCAATGCTATTTTTGAGTACTAACCCATCTAATATTATACAAAAAACTTTTGTTTATCCTATAAATAGAGAATTTTAGAATTAATATTTTCTGTACTATCATACTAGTTTATAAAAATTCTTTTTATAATAAGTATTTCATTATTTTTTCTACTTTTTATATAATAAAGTCAAAATGATTCACCATTAAATAATACTCTATAGCTAGCTTAAATTCTTCTTTTTTAGAATATATTGCTCTTTTTATTAAATTTTTAAAAGCTTTTTTTATAATTTGTTATTATAAAAAATTTATTATAATAAATTATAAATTAAAATTAAAATAAATATTAATTAGAGGATAGTGATCCTAGTATAGTAGTTGGGTTGTTATTCTTTAAGTAGCAGGTCTAAGGTTCAAATCCTACCTATGATGAAATTTGAAAATTATAGTTGTATTATAATAACTGTCTTCTGTCGATCAGTTGGCCTCATGCAGCTGTAACCCAGATATATCTAGTCAGGTCCTACAGATATTGAGAGCTTAGAGCATCTATGTGAAATGTAATATTACATATACATAAAGAAATATATAATTGGTGTTGCATAAGACTTCAATACAAACCCATGATAAGACCATTAAGCATAAAAGACTAAGGAACCAAGATAACAGAAACCCACTTAAAATTTCTAAGTAAAGAGATAACATGAACTTTTGATAGTATCATCAGACTGGTTAAAGTCTATGAAACATCTTTATAGAAATCGAAGATTAAAACTAAATGTCAAATATATGTAGAGAAGCATATAACCAACCAGGCTGCTAGATTCATTAAAGGAAAAAGATACAGAAGTATATTATACTGGGTTATCTGAATTGGTAATCTGAAATAAAACTGATGGTTTTGAGTTGCAGCTAGTAGAAAATAATGAAGAAGATGCCAAGAAGATAAGTACCAGGGTTCTAGTGAACTTTACAAAAGTAGAAATAGTGTAATATAATGTTTAAATAGATAACCTCTGTGACTGCAATTGTTAGGTAATTATAGCATGTTGCATAAAACTAGATCTATATATGTAGAACATAAAGACTCTAGTAAGTTTTCTGTCAAGGATAAACTAGTTCTAAGAATAATAACTAGCATCAGAAACTTGAATAAATATAGCCTTGAGATGTTCTTATAATACAAGAAGAATTGCATATGCAGAGGTTTAAATAGGCAAGACCCCTAGTTAGCTTGCAGATATAACAACTAGTGTAGAACTTATATAGAAATATATAAGCAGATTACTTAAATTAGGCACCAAAAGTGCATATATAGATAGTTGTAATCTTTAATAAAAGGTGAGCTTCTAGTGGCATGCCATGTCCTAATATACTTAAATAAAAACATCATATTCCCAAGATAAAAACTTTAATTATAAAAAAAATATATATATTAATTAATTATTTCATGAAAAGTTTTTTTGTTTGTTGCATCAAATTTATTATTTAACCTTTTCTCTAATTCTCTAATATAGTTATTTATTTGTTAAAACAAAAAAAAAAGTTGCTTAATTTGATACAAAATTTATGTTTAATTTTTAAGAATTTTTATAAAACCTTTATTTGTTATTAAAATAATTAAATAATTTTTAAATTAATTAATATATTAAAAAGAATATAATACTATTTAAATAATTTAAAAAATTACACAAGTTTCAAAAATAAACATTAAAATAATTTAATATTTACTTAAATAGTATAAACAATATTTAAAATTTTTTAAAAAATTTTGAAATATTATGCAATATTTAAACTTAATAGCTAACTTGCAAATACAATTCTATTTTAATAATTTAATAACTATTTATATTGCATTATCTTAATAAAACTCAATAATTTGTAAATTATTACAAAATTTTTAAAGATTTTAAAAATATTTTAAATATCTTTAGTTAATAATACAGCTTTTAAAAAGCATAAGAGATCATTATTTTCTAACTATAATTTTAATAATTAATTTACAACTTTTTTTGATCTTTCTGGTATTATTTTTTAAGTTTTTTTTTAGTCTTCTTAGATTTATCTTTCTTAAAACTTTTCTTTGAACCTACAATTATATCTGAGCATATTTTCTAATATTTGTATATAAATATGGTTATTATAAATAAAAAAATAATTTTATTTTATTATATATTAAAAATTACATATCTGATAATATTAAAAAAATAAACTTAAAAAAGATATAAATAAATTTAAAGCAACAAAAATAAAAATAAAAAAAAAAAATTAAATAAATAGCAAAAAAAAATAAAATAAAAATATTTTTTAAAAAAAAAAGTTAGTTAAAAGCAAATAAAAATTAGTTAAAAATTCTTTAGAATTTTAGTAAATTTAAATAATATAAAATATTTAAGAAAAGTTATATTCATAACACTATATTATATAACACCTGATTACATGATATTAGATAAAACAAAATTAGCCAATAGTATATCAAAATTTAAAATAATACAAAATATTAAATCTAAATTGTATTTTTATAATATATTAATATAAATTAATAACTATAATTATAATTTTTGTTAACCTCATTTTATTAATTTTTTTAAACAAATAAATTGTTTATTACTCAAAAATTAATATAAGGCTTATCTTCCTATTTCAAAAATACTTTTTTTTTAGGCCATTTAGACCATTTGAAGTTAATTTTTCAGTTATCATCACCTCTTCAGCTAAAGTCTCCTCCTAAAAAATGAACAGCCAATTAAAATGCTAAATAACTTTCACTAGTTATCTAATTTATATCAACCAATGAAATTGTTAATCTTCATTTATTTTTATATATGTTCATTTTATTTTACCTTTCTCCCCTCTCTTGAGAGTTCTGGCAAAGTGATGTTAATCGAAGAATCAACTTCAAACAGCCTTACTAGTATTCTAACTTTAAAGCTAGATACTAGCTACAACTGAATTTAATCATTAAGTTTAAATCTAACGAGATATAAATAGGGTTGTTAAAAAGCTCATAGAAACCCAGTCCTTGAGTCGACTTCATATGGACTTTTCTCAAACCTGTTTCATACAAAGTCCCATATGCATGTCTGTGTTCCAATTTGTAATTTATATAATTAGTCAAATACATGTCATTTGTTCATGTATGGACTTGGCTCAAGAACTGAGTCCTAATCGAAGTCCCTATCTGTGGAGTCTGAACCAATAGAATCAGACTTTTAACAATTCTAAATATAAATAACAAAATTCAGATATTATCTCCAAATGCAGCATTAAAATACAATAGAACCTTAAATAAATTTTTATGCCATATATCTGTATTACATATAGAGCAAAGTAAATATGCATACAGAATACAAAAAAAAACAAATATGCATATTGAACAAAAGCATTAGTTCATTACAACAAAGTTAGTATGCACAAACATATGTGCATGTGATTGTTAAAGTTGAATGCATATAAAAATAATAAATATAGTCTATACAATTTGATATGCAATTAACTAAAAATCTAAACATATTAACTAATATAGTCATAACTTAATATATTTGCACCTTTTCCCTTATCTAAAAACAAGATCATGCTTACTAACTATAGTGCCTAAAAAAATATATGAATTAAATTTTATGATCATATATAAATAAAATTGATATCTTTTGATATACATTACATATTGACACTACAGTATTCTATTTACTCCAGGTTGTTTTTGTGAGCACATGTTTTGATAATAGTTAGATTTATGGCAAAATCCACAAAATCTTGGTTTCAATATAGATTTTTTTTTATCTAATAATTTTCTTGTTTATCTTTAATATGCTTTTTGCATAGTGCTCTTTTACCAATATAATATGCAGGATCTACAACATTTTTAATAAAAACTAGTTTTTCAATATTAATTTGTATAGTGATAAATGGAACATCAAAATTTTGATGCTTCTTAAGAATTCAAAGTTCCTTTTGTTGTGTTTGTCTTTCACATTTAAGTTTTTTTTTCTCAATATAGTTTCTTAAGAAACCTTCTAATTTACAATTATTTTCATCATCATCTTGTAAAATAATAGCCTGTTTTGCAAGGCTTATAGTTTTAACAAATTAAAGTTTCTTTTCTATATGCACTTAAAACTTGTTTTCTTGAATATTATTAATTCGAAGCAAGTTCATATTTGTTGTAGTCCTTAATTAGTATGTAATTGAAGCTAACTCAGTATTGCAGCTTGCTATTAAAAATGGTTCTTAAGCATGTTCAGATTCAGCTACTTCATCTTTACACCATTATATAGACAACAGCATTATATGAAACCTTGTAAATTTTGATTCAAGTAAAACATCAAAAAAATACCTACAAACTATTCTATGACTAACTAATAAAAAACAAGTGCACAAATAACATCCATCAGTAAACAACACAATATAGTGTATTGACTTAGCTGAAGTTAGACAGATAACTCTCCAAATTTTTTAAACTGACAGATATTCATCTTTAGTGATTAAAGCTAACAAATATGATTGTGAAATATCATAGGTATTTTCAATAAAATTGTTATCATATACAAATTCTTGTGAATTTAACGAGATATTAGCATCCTGCAACTATTAAAATAAAATTAATAAAATTCACTACTGTGCTTAAAAACAACTCCAATAAAGTATTACTTGTTCATTTAAATTAGTATTATTAAATGATAATACTTGAGCTCAATATATAGTAGATTCAATTATTTGTTTTTGTTGCTCAGTTGCTAAATTTGGTGTTAAGTACTTATTGGTTTGTTTAACAATTTGAGAAAAAAAATATTGCAATGCAATATAATTATTATAATTAATCTGATCTTGAGACTATACAGTAAATTACTAATTAAGACTTTCACATTCAATACATTGATGGATTGTCTCCATAACTAGTAGTAAAGTAGATGAGCTGTTTATAGCAGTTTTAATATGCCTATTGAGCCCTTTGACTCTTTGAGTTGATTGCATACCTCCAGTAAAAATTTTAAATGTATAAGCATATGCCTATGATTCTTTAATAGAATATAATTTTTAAAAATATGAAGATGCAAGTTGATATCTATTCAAAAGATTTGCAAACCATGATTCAAATACATTTTCACTCAAACTATTACATGTTATGTAAAAGTCTTTAATAAAATTAGAATACTGTTTATCAAGTTTACTCTTAAGGTTTTTTAAATATTCTGGCTTAAGTAATATAAACAAAAGAGATGTTTGATATTTGAAAGATTATGGCTTGCAAATGTGTTTTATTGAAAGATTCTTGTCTGTTATTAAAACTCTTGATAGAATCCCAGTTGCTTCTTCTAAATTTTGAACAACTCATTAAAAGGATTCAATATTTTCATTTGGCATTAAAGCCTAAGTAGTAATTCTAGTTTTGTTGTAATTATTAACTAAAATAAAAAGACACAAAGGAAAATTGTAATGATTTGTTTGTATTATATTATTCTAAATAATTACATCACAAAATTGAATCCATCTTTTTCACTGGCCTGGATTTATCCAAAATATTCTGCAAAGTCAGTTGTTAATAGGATCAATTAAAGCCTTGATATACCAGTTAGAATCAATTTCTTTGTATTCATAAAATTTTGTTAAAAGTAAAGATGCATTATTCCTTTCTACATGATATTCTTTCTGTAACTGAGCTACAACATTAGCAAGATTCCTTGTAAAAAAAGGTTGATCAGAATATTTAGCAAATAAAAGAGACCTAATTGTTGATAGATCACATCTATTATTAACTATTAAATATCAAATATCTTTATAACACTTATTAGAGAATTGATAGTTAATAGGAGTAAAGATTCTAGTATCTTGTAAGAGCTGGTGTTCAACATGATTATCATGTAAACTAGTAATATGGACCAAACCTGTCACTGATGATAGATTAAGCTTCTTGTCAAAATTAAGTTTTTTGATATCTTTATTATATTGATTTTGTTGATTTATAGTTTTTTTTGGTTGATAAGTGCACCAAATTCACATTTGTAATACAAATTTGTTAAACAGTCATTCTTGTTAGTTCTATTGTATACTTTAATAGCAACAAATCCTTTTTGATAACTGTAATGTATAATATGCTCTGCAATTGCCCAATTAGAAAATATATTATTAATAGAAAGTTTAATTTTTTTGTTAATGTGAGGCAGTGGTCCAGAAATATTAATCAAATAGTGTTTTTTAAGAGTTTTGTTATTTTCATATAAACTTTCTGATAATTCAGAAGTTTCTAAATCTAAAACTTGAGATTCCATAAGCTGATTCAAAATCTGGTACTGTAAGTGTTATTACTTGAAGTTAAAAGTGATAGGGAAAGTAAAAAAAAACTCTCCAAAAGCAAGAGAAGAACAGAAATTGAGTTTAAAAGAATTTAGATTTAAAATATGTTAGAATCTACTAATATATGGGTAAACAAAATATAAATCTAATAGCTTTAACAATATTTTTTTACCAAAAGAACTTCCCAATACTTTACTGGATCAAGAATAAAAAAGATCAAGATTTTAAGGTACTTGTATATACTACTGCAATACTTATTTGCTCAAAGGTATGGTCTTTAATGCACTTGTTATTACATATTTGGCATATAAAAATTTTATTAACATGACTTTCATGCTTCCACAACTTAAATAACTTATATGGCTTTTACAACTTAAATAACTTATAAAGATTTTATGATTATCACAGTTTTTATAACTTTTATGACTTTTATGGCTTTTACAACTTTTACAACTTTCACAAGACAAAGACAAAGAAAGACAAAAGAACTGACTAACATGTTCAAAATAGTGACTAACAGCTAATACATATAATTACTTAAGGTATGAGTTTTAATGCTCTTTTTATTCACTTTTAATATGAGATTTTTATTATATAGCTTTCACAGAATTCAAGAAGAAAAAAAAAAAAACAAAAGTTTGCTTATTTGTAATCATGCATGCCTTTTTATTTACTTAATAATTAAATTTCAGATTAAACTTCCACATCTGTTATCATTTTAATATATAATTACATATGATTGTACTATGTATATACTTATATGTATCACATGATCAGGTGCAATATATAACATAGGTGTTATGAATATAATATTCCTTTATAAAACTATTTAATAAAATCTGAATAATTGTAAAATTTGTTAACATAATCAAATATAAACTATGAACAATATTAAATGATTATCTATATAAATATTAAACAGTATAAAGTATGACAACTTAGTAAAATAGATAAGTTGTTAACCTTCAAATAGCAGGTCTAAGGTTCAATTCCTATAGATGATAAAATTTAAAAATTATATATGTGTTATGATAACTGTTTCTTATTAATCAGTTAAGTTTTGGATATTTGTAATCTTAGATATACCAAGTTGGACTCTATTTAATATTAAAAGCTTGAAGTATCTATGCAAAATATAACTTTATATATATATAAAGAAATATAAAAAACTAGTGTTGCATAAGGCTTCAATGTAAACTTATAATAAAACCACTAGGCATAGAAGGCTAAAAAACTAAGAAAACAGAAACTCATATGAAAATCCTAAATAAAAAGGTAGTACAAACTTTTAATGATGCTATTAGACTAATAAAACTTCATAAAACACCTTTATAAAAATTATCAGATAAACTGAATAACAAGTATATAAGAGAAACATATATAGCAACCCAATCTGATACCAATCTTTAAACTCTTCTATTACAAATAAAGAGCTCTCTCAAATTCTCAGTTAGCTTCTTAACAACAAAGCCTGTAGTCCTACAGGCATTAGTTATAAAATGCTCAAACATCTTAGCTTTGAATATACTCCTGTCATTACTAGTCTCTTTAACTGTTGCCTTCTTAAAAATAGAATTTCTAAGCAATAGAAATATAGCAAAATTTATCCTATTTCCAAATGTAACTCCTTTGATGGTGATCTTAATTTTACTCAACCTATTAGTCTTGTTGAACATATTTGCAAACTATATACTAAAATTCTTATAAACAGACTAAGCACTATATTTTCTTCTAATTCTATTCTCTTACCTTTTAATTATATTGTATTTATTAATAATAGCACTTCAATTTCTATTCACATCCTCAATAATCTTATTGAAGATGCTACTTGCAATCATAAGAACATTTGGTTACTTTTACAGAATATGAGTAAAAAATATAACTCTGTCAACTTTACTCTTTTCAAACATTTACTTTTTTATCTGGCAGTTCCTTCATCTATTATTAATATCATTTCTGATCTCTTAAATAATTGTCATAACCAAGTTATTACTAATTTTGGCCTTACTCTCTTATATCCTGTTCACAATAGTATTGACCAAAATGAAACCATTACTCTTTTATTATGATGTATTTATTATGACCCACTTATTTCATATATATATGCACAAGTACCTGGCTATATCTTACAATTCTTTTGGGCTACTAATCTTAAACTCCAAACATTTAACTCACTACAAAAACAATGCTTTGTTTTGGCATACATAAATAATATTTTTTGGATTGCCTTATCACAAACTAAGCTTTTTAATATACTATTTATAGCTAAATTATTTTATGCTATAACTAATATTCAAGTTAATTCTCAATATCTATTCTGGTTACCAATAATCTTCCATCTAACTACATTCCTATCTCCTATAATAATCATCTCCTTTCACTACATTCTCCTAAACAACCCTTTAAATTTTTAGGTTGTTGGTTTACCTTGAACAATAGGCCATCTGAACAAACAAAACTACTTATTGCTGAATCCTCTCAACTCATTCAAATTGCTAAAACCAAATGTATTACTAACTTACATGCCTGTTATATTATTAACACAGTCATTATTTCTACTTTTGAATATTATCTTCAAAACATTGTAATTAGCTAGCCTATCTGCAATAAAATCTTTATTTAACATATTAGTTTCATTAAACTTAAAGCTAAACTTTGCTATACAATACCCTCTAGTATCTTTTTACATTCCCAAATTTATAACATAAAACACATTTAAGACATCCAACTACAACACCTTATTACTAATCTTCTTAAATTACTTAATAATCCTGACCTATTAGGCACATCAACTCACATATGAATTCAACAGTTACAAAACAACCTATGGTCCTTTACCAATATCTTTTTACATTCTAATCCTATTATCAATAGTTCTAACCATCTAATTACCAACTTTAAAATTATTTAGCATATTAAGTATATTGGCTAGACATTTTCTACTAACCTAAATTATAATATTCCATTTACTTTAAATAATTGAGCTATCTTTCTTGAATTCCTTCTTTTCTATTATTTCAAATATTCCATTTTTAAAAAGCAACTTAGATATCACAAATTACTCTTTCTTGACCAACTTACTATATATGATAATTTATGCTTATTATACTAGAAACACATTTCTCCTAGATTAAACAAACTTCCCAAAGATGTTGTATTTCAATAGTTCACAACTCTTAAAAACATTACAACAAGCTATTCTTATCAATGTACTCTATATGATCACTTTAATCTACCTTAAACAAACTACTTTTCTTATACTACTGGTTATTTAACTCTAATACCAAACTCTGATTACTTATTGTTCTTAATGACCAAATAATTATTGGCAAGACCAGATGGCATAATACCTCTATAGGCCTTATCCTTATTACTTACTAGTACTGCTCATATCAGTTCCAGTTTTCAAACCTATATCCTGCTTCCCTCTTTATTACTACATTATGTTCTAGATATTATTTTAATTTCAATACAATTGCCAACAAATGTACTATCTTTATTCTTACTAGCCTGGCTACAAAACTATTCTGCTATATTAATACTGACAAAACTCTTAACTTACATGCCAACTTTCTTGATATTGCATACTCTGTAGCTATTTAACATTCTTTACATATTCTATTACCTTTTTTATTAATAATTAACTTACAACAATTACCTTGCATCTTTCAGTCTAATCAACTTACTAATAGCTTACAGTTTATTGCTAATTCCAACTATAAATCTAACTACTATTTTATTTTATACTGATGGTTCTGTTATTAAGTTTGTACCTCTCAATGCTCTATAGACATAAGTTGGATTCAAGTTGATAATTCTGCAACTATTCATTTATTTCAGACACAAGTTAAACTCTGACTATGCTTTTTTAAAGCAATTATAACTATTTCTAGAAACTGTTCTATTCATATCTTATGAAGTCACAATCTGTTATCTCTAAATATCATAATATTTGTTTATCAGCATTCAAACTTTCTTATACCTATACTCTATACTTCTCTATTTGGCAAACTCTTATTAACTTCATTAATTTATACAATATTTAGCTTACTTTTCACAAAGTTATTGCACACCAAGATGATCCATTTAATAACCTTGCTGACCAACTTGCTTATAGTCACCAAATACTATTTTTTTAATATTTTTAACTGACAACCCTTACAATCTTGCCTATACTCTATTTATTAACCAATTTTTTATATAGATTTCTATTCAATACTCCATTTGTACTATCTGTTAAGCCTACATTATAATGCTCTGAATATCCCAACATCATTTTCAACAATGGCCTACTATTGCTTCTAATATTAACTAGAAATCACTTAGCTTTACATCAATAATAATCAAAAAGTTTCTAATTTTGTTTATAGTTTTTATTTCTCTATTCTAAAAACCTTTCATGTTAAAATTCTTTTAGATGAACTACCTGTTTCTCATACTCTTCACAAATATAACTCCTTTTATTTTCCTCTATGTTATTAATACAATCAAACTAGCTCTTTATTACATTGGACTTTTTGTTCTTCTACTCAAACAATTTATTACTTAATTTTTAATTCTCTTAATTGCATCTTAAATGCTACTGTTCTTGACATATCTCTCAACCTTTTTCTAATTTACATCAAGAAATTCTTATACTTAAAAGCTTTAAACTGTATAACTTTTCACATATACAATCTCTTATTTTTACTCTATCTGGTTTAGTTTCTATTGACCTTATTTTTACTATTCATAATTCTTCTATTATATATCATACAGTTACTTCTCTTTCTATTAAATTTCTTCTTTATTTAAACTAACAAATATACAAACAAATATGAATTTCATATTGCATTTCACATTTTGCATAGTCTCAAAACACACTTACTACAAATTTAACTCATAGTTTTTTTTCCAGTCTATCCTTTATCTCAGTACTACAAATTATTACCAAAATTGATCTTTGAACTATCCAATAGATTAAATATCATATTCCTCT